CTCCAGGCCCGCATTCAAATGAAAAAACCTCTAGGTAGCATTGTTTTATTCCACCCGTTGCTTGAGGCAATAGGTCCGCCCTAGGATACGGTAACCAGGTTGACACGCCTTTATTATGATAATCATGACCAGTTCTTTAAGGGAAAATGGGCGTCGACAATCGATCTGACTACTTTCTGTTGACGACAGGACGATGCACATTTTTTGGGGGGATAAATGTTTTTATCTGACTGAATTTTTGGCGACAAATGTTTTTATCTGACTGAATTTTTGGCAACAAACATTTTTATCTGACTGAATTTTTGGTGGCCGCGGCTGAGGCGTGGCCCATACAAAGGCATGGCCCCGCCCCGGGCCGTGCGCAGGCTCGCCGTTTCACCTCAGGCAATGAACTCGCACCGCCGGCTGTGAGTCTTTTTCAAGCTCCGGCGAGGGGGGGCCTCTCCTGCCCGGTCTGCCCACGCGCGGAGGGCCCGGTTAGGGCCACGGGGGCCCCAGTCTCAGACCTTCCCAGGGGCCGGGGAGTGACGAGTACTCAGCACGTGGCCCCGCCGATGAGCTTCCTCCGCCCGCCCATGTTGCTATGGAAACGCGGTTCAGAGTTAGGCCCCTCTCTGTCTTTAGGTCTTTAGTGGCGCTGCTGTTCACCATGCAGCTTCCGTCTCAGTCAGGGCAAGTCCGCTCAGGTGCTGGGATTAAAGGCGTGCGCCACCACCGGCTACTTCCTCAATCAAAATTAAAATTTTTTGTACGTGAGAGCCAGAGACTGAGCTCTCTTATCAAAATTAGGCGAAAATCACCTCCAAAAGCTCTGTGGCTCTTTAAGAACAGGAAAGGCAGTCTTCAGGCATGATCAAGCCCGCCTCCCTACGAGACTGTTGCCCCGGTCTCTAACAGCGAGTATGGACGGAGGAAGCCGCGGATCTCCCAACCGTAAACCTCGCTTTTTTTGCTGCTGTTTTTATTTACACTCCTCCTGCACTGAACTTGAGGGGTTTTTTCTTCCCCGTTGCTTTCTGTACCTTCTTTCAGATACCTTAACTTTGATTCTTTCTATTTTCTTTTCTTTTTAGGCCTATACTTTTTTCATTCTTTTTCCTCCCCTTTCTGGAGGATTTAACTGACGTCACTCACCGCTCCACGTGTTCAGAGTTCTGAAATTCACGGCTCTCTGTGTCCTGGTGTCTGATCTCGGCTTTTTCTTCCCGGGCTTTCAGCACCTGTTGCTGGGCGCTTCCTTCTCAGGGTCCCCCGGCGTAGTTGTCAGGGTCCCTCGGCGTCCCGGGGTTTCGAGCACCAGTTGCGACGCACATCCTGACCAGCAGGAATGAACGCCATTAAAACGAGAATTCCTTCCCTGGTCACGTCTTTATTCGGAGCATTTGATTGAGGAAAATTGGGGAAAGGGAAGATAGAGCCGGGACGAGAGAAAGCTTAGAGAGAGGAAGTAAAGCCCCGAGGCAGCTGCTTTTAAACGGTGGAGAGGCTTGAACGCTGTCCTGATTGGTTAATGCCATTCTGCTGGTCTGAGCATGTGCAGACAAGGGCACAGGCAAGGGTGCTCAGCCCCACATGGCTAAGCCAGGTATGGGCTTGTATACCTCCAAACTGCAGGACCACCTGTGCCTCCAGGTGGCTTCCTACACACAACCATCTGTAATGAGATCTGGTGCCCTTTTCTGGCCTGCAGGCATACATGCAGGCCATAACATTGTATTCATGATAGATAGATAGATAGATAGATAGATAGATAGATAGATAGATAGATAGAATTAATAAGTCCAGGTTTAATCCTAGCAAAATATTCCTGGGTGACCCCAGGGGAAGAAGAGAAACACATGAGAGAAAACCATGCAGCAGGTCACAGGGGTGGGGGAGCACTCATCTTAAATAATGTGGAGGCATGGTCCTAGGCATCTCCAGGAACAGAGCTGCCCATGGCAGGCTTTCTCAGACATGGGGTCTGAAAGGGCGCTGCAGGGAGCTGCTACCTGGCATGCTGAGGGTGGGGTCTGAAATGGGCTCCCCCAGCGGGAGATTCCACTCTTAACTACTGAACCATCTCTCCAGTCCCTTATTTCTAATTTTCTGGTTATTATTGCTATTTAGTCACAGAAAAGATTGACATTTAACAAGAAATGTACTTTAGCATGTACCCTATAAGATACAATTTTATATGAAGAGGAACCATGGGAGATCAGGATGCCTTTACAAGGAAATAAGGAGCTATAAAAAAATTCTTCCATACAAACATTTTAATCGAATTATTTTCTTTTTCCAAATACAAAATCTTAATTGTTAGAAGGAAAGAGAAAAACCAACAAAGAGGACAGTAAGATAGAAGACCAAGAATAAGGAATTCTTCTCTATAGGTGCACTACTTATGTAGTTACAAGTATGGGTTGAGTTATAACAAAAATACTCAATATTATAGTCAATTATTATACAGCTGGAAACAGGATTTTCTAAATAAGTCCAATCGGCCTGACACTTGCTCAGTCTTCAATTCCGTGACAAGTTAAAGCTGTGTAGTGGTAACGGCTGACGAGCAGTATCAAGACAAATGCTTGATGAGAGACAGTTTTTCTCCTTGTTCACTTGGAAAGACTGCCTTTTTCTACAAGTTCCTCCATGGTGTTGAATTTCTGCTGCCCAGTGCAGTAAACAGTCTTCCTTGTACTTGTCCTAGCCCCATAAAACTGTAAACGCAGGGCTGCAGAAATGGCTCAGAGTTAAGAGCATTTGCTGTTCTTCCAGAGAATTGGAGTTCACTTCACAGCACTCACGTCATATAGCTCACAGCCATCGGCAACTTCATTTCCAGTGCATCCAGGGTCCTTTTGTGACCAAAATAAAAGCTAATCTTAGAAACTAAGATATTTGAGAGAAATTAAATAATAAGGAAATAAAACTGACAATCAGTAAATGAGCAAATAACTGAATAGACAGTTTTCAAAAGTGAAACATAAATGGGAAATAACTATTTTTAAACATGTTCTATTCAATATTTCTAGCCACCAGGGAAATGCAAATTAACACTACTTTGAGATAACACCTCAGCCTAGTCAAAATGGCTGCCACCAAGAAATCTAACAAGCCAGGAAGTGGTGGTGCACACCTTCAATTCTAGCATTTGGGAGGCAGAGGCAGGCAGATCTCTGTGAGTTCAAGGCCAGCCTGGCCTACAATGCAAGGTCCAGAACATCCAGGACTGTTACAAAGAGAGACCCTGTCTCAAAAAACCAAATCAACCAATCAATCTAACAGCAAAAGTTGGAAAGAATGTAGAGAGACAGGAGCCCTTGTTCACTGTTGGCAGCTGCATCACTACAGCTGGTATGGGAATCCGTTTTGAGATTTCTCTGAAAATTAAGATATAGACTGGCATGGAGGCACACGCTTTTAATCCCAGCACTTGGGAGGCAGAGGCAAGCAAAACTCTGTGAGTGTGAGGCCAGGCTGACCTACAGAGTGAGTTACAGGATAGTCAAAGTTACACAGTGAAATGCTGTCTCAAAAATTTAAAATTTAAATAAACAAGAATAGAGCTACTATATCGCCCAGATATTTTGCTCCTGAGCATATACCCAAAGAATTCTGTAATATACCATAGAGACAATTGTACCCCTATGTTTATTACTGCTTTCTTCATTACAACAAATAATTGAAAACTATCTAGTTGTCCATCAACGGATGGATATATATATATATATATGTATATGTATATATGACTACTACTTAGCTCTAAAGAAAAATGAAGTTAAAAATTTACAGGCAAATGGATTTTGAATCTCTAATAATAAGCAAGGTCACACAATCTCAATATAAAAAACACATGTTCTTTCTCATATGTAGAATCTAGACAATAATGTATATCCATATGCAGTCAAATGTGCATATGAGTATAGCATGTATAGTATATAGCATGTATAAAGAAGAAAAACAAACAAATAAATATTAGACTATGAGGAAGGATTGAATGTAACGATCAGATATGAGTTATGAAAGATGATGTAAAATTGTGTTTTCTACTTCTAATTCTGTCATGAACTTTTCTGGTTTTGGTGCTTGGCAAGTGCATAAAATACATTCAATAATAAACCCAGTAAAAGTGTAAAATTTAATTTGGAGCTCCAGAGCTTCCATTTCTAATGTCTATTCTAACTGTATTGTGTTGCATAGCCTTTGGATCTGCTTAATTTTAGTGTGTGATGTCCTCATATTTGCAAGTTGTTACAATGAAGTTTTTAAATAATTTATTTTTATTTCATATGCATTCATGTTTTTGTGTATATGTGTAACTGTGTGAAGGTGTTGAATCCCCTGGGACTGGAGTTACAGACAGTTATGAGCTGTCATGTGGGTGCTGGGAATTGAACCCGGGTCCTCTGGAATAGTCAGTGCTCTTAACTGCTGAGTCATCTCTCCAGCCCAATAAAATTTACTTTTTAAAAAAGGAGAAAGAAAACGTCCCTAGACTTGTCTCCAAGTTAACATGATAGAGGCTTTTTTCAATTAAGGTTCTCCTCCTAGATGATTCTAGCTTGTATCATGCTGACCAAAAAAAAAAAAAAAAAAAGGAAAAAGAAAGAAAAGAGCTGGGTTAGCGGTAGAAATCAGTTTTGAGATTTTGTTTTAAAATTAAAAAATAGCTTAGCATAGTGGCACACGCCTTTAATCGCAGCACCTGGGAACCAAAGGCAGTGAGTTTGAGGTTACCAGCCTGATCTAGAGAGTGAGTTCCAGAGCAGCCAGGACTACACAGAAAAACTCTGTCTTGAAAAACTAATAAATAAATTAAACAAACAAATAAAGTCCCTCCAAAATAAGTACAAATGTTGTTACCTCTTACCACTTTTTCTTGTTTCAAAAGTTGTCCAGATGGAGTTGAGTCCCCATGTCGTCGTCCCCCTCCACCCCCCCACCCCCCCACCCCACCCCGCGAGCGCAGGCCTTTTGCAACTCTTTCTTTGCCGCTCCACACCCACCACCAGTTTGCCATGGATGACGATATCGCTGTGCTCGTGGTTGACAACGACTCCGGCTTGTACAAAGCCGGCTTCACGGGCGATGATGCTCCCAGGGCCGTCTTCCCCTCCATCGTGGGCCGCCCTAGACACCAGGGCATGATGGTGGCCATGGAACAGAAGGACTCCTCCGTGGGCAACAAGGCCCAGAGCAAGAGAAACATTCTGACCCTGAAGTACCCTAGTGAACACGGCATTGTCACCAACTGGGACGACATGGAGAAGATCTGGCACCACACCTTCTACAACAAGCTGCGTGTGATCCCCGAGGAGCACCCTGTGCTGCTCACTGAGGCCCCCCTGAACCCCAAGGCCACCCGTGAAAAGATGACCCAGATCATGTTTGAGACCTTCAACACCCCAGCCATGTACGTAGCCATCCAGGCCCTGCTGTCCCTGTATGCCTCTGGTCGTACCACTGGCATTGTGATGCTCTCCGGAGACGGAGTCACCCACACTGTGCCCATCTATGAGGGCTATGCTCTTCCTCATGCCATCCTGCATCTAGATATGGCTGGCCGGGACCTGACAGACTACTTCATGAAGATCCTGACCGAGTGTGGCTACAGCTTCACCACCACAGCTGAGACGGAAATAGTTCATGACATCAAAGAGAAGCTGTACTACGTTGCTCTGGACTTCGAGCAAGAGATGGCCACTGCTGCATCCTCTTCCTCCCTAGAGAAGAGCTACGAGCTGCCTGATGGCCTGGTCATCACTATTGACAACGAGCGGTTCTGTGCCCCTGAGGCTCTTTTCCAGCCTTCCTTTCTGGGTATGGAATCTTCTGGCATTTACGTAACTACATTCAATTCCATCATGAAATGTGACGTCGACATCCGCAAAGACCTCTATGCCAACACAGTGCTGTCTGGTGGCACCACCATGTGCTCAGACATTGCTGACGGGATGCAGAAGGAGCTCACTGCTCTGACTCCCAGCACCATGAAGATCAAGATCATTGCTCTTCCGGAGCCCAAGTACTCTGTGTGGATCGGCGGCTCCATCCCGGCCTCCCTGTCCACCTTCCAGCAGATGTGGATCAGCAAGGAGGAGTACGATGGGTCCGGCCCCTCCATAGTGCACCGCAAATGCTTCTAGGCAGACTCTGACTGAGCTGCGTTTTACACCCTTTTTTTTGACAAAACCTAACTTGCGCAGAAAAAAATAAATGAGACAACATTGGCATAACTTTATTTGTTTTTTGGGTTTTTTAAAAATTTTTTTTTAAAGAGCTTGTTTTGTTTTGGTGCTTTTGACTCAGAATTTAAAAACAGGAACGGTGAAGGCGACAGCAGTCAGTCAGAGCAAGCATTCCCGAAGTTCTTCAATGTGGCTGAGGACTTTGATTGTACTTGTTTTTTTTCTTTTTCTTTTTTTCTTTTTACCTTTTTAAATAGTCATTCCAAGTATCCATGAGAAATGAGGAAGTCTCTCTACCTCCCCCCCAAACCACTCCCATTTCGTAGGGGAGGATGGCGGAGTCCACGCCCTGAGTCCACACCAGGGAGGTGACAGCATTGCTTTCTGTGTAAAGTATGTACTGCAAAAAAAATTTTAACTTTCTGCTTTAATACATTTCTGTTTTTTTTATTTTGGAATGGTCAGCCATCATGGCCCTCCTTTTTTTGTCCCCCCAACTTGATGTATGAAGGCTTTGGTCTCCCTGGGAGTGGGTTGAGGCTGGACATTGACTTTAGACCAGTTTCATAAAAGTGCACACCTTACAAAAAAAAGTTGTCAAAATATTTTTGTTTGTGATGGTGCTAGGGATTGAACCCAGGGCCTCACACATGCTGAATATAGGCTCAATTCCTGAGCTATACCCATCTATATTGTTTTATTAATCAGTTCCCAGGTTATCAGTTTTTTATCAGCTGTATATAAAACTATATTGTTTTAGCTCCTAATTTATCAGTTTAGAACGAATCTGTCAGTACCCAAGTTCCAAGTGACTTGGAACATTTTATATTTGTCCTTTAGAACTAATTTGGGTCCCCATGGAATATATGAGTCTATAAGTCTCTAAAGATCTATGAGTCTAGATGGAATTGCGATAGGGAATACCTTATGGAAAGAGAATGTAGGATTTGCATAGAAGTATGATTGTGTCAGATTTCTTGGACCAACTCTAGGGCTCCAGAAAGATCTTTTTCCTTTTCCTCAGGGTTAGAGTTCATCGTCTTCCCTTCCTATTTTTCCTTTCCTAGGAATTAGTTCTCACAGACCTGACATTTCTCCCTTCTTGTTTTTGTCATTGTTGCTGTTTGAAACAAGATTTCTTACAGCCCAGACTGGCTTCCAGCTAGCTCTGTAATTGAGAATGACCTGGAACTCCTAATTCTCCTGCCAAGTTCTGAGAGTACATCCTTTCCAATTAACACCATTTTCTTTTAAAAATAGAAGAAATAGAGAACACAGTCCCCCACTACCACAAATTCTGCAGTTGAGGTCCCTGAATTTGGGGAAATCACATGCAGAGTGCAATGGAAAATTCTCAACTTGGGAAAACCACCTTCCGGATCAGGGTGTCTTCTGCCAAATAAATATGCTGTGATGGTTTGAAAGAAAATGGACCCCAAAAGGAGTGGCACTCTTAGAAGGTGTGGCTGTTGTTGGATTTCCTTTTACATTAGCTCCATGATGGACCACCAAAGTGTTAATGGTTTTTTACTCTGGTCCTAAAGTACATAGGCCGGTTTATGTCCACAGTCCCTCTTTCCATTCCAGCTGTCTCAGCAGCTGTCCTTCACTTTTCAGCAATCAAAAAATTCAAAATCAACACAAAACTACACAGGATCCAGATTCCCTGTATATTTCCCATTTTTACGTGTCTTTGTCTTTTTACTTTTACTTCCTTTTTAAAGACTTTATTATTTTAATCTATTTCTTTCTTTCTACGACTGTCTATACCCATATTCTTTTCTTTCTTAAGTCTACGAATATTTTAAAACACACTGGAACCTGTTTGGATTTCTTTTTAAGGATTTATTTACTATGTATACAGAGCTCTGCCTGTATTTCTGCCTGCAGGCCAGAGGAGGGCACCAGATCTCATTACAGATGGTTGTGAACCACAATACGGTTGTTGGGAATTGAACTCAGGATATCTTGAAGAGCAGCCAGTGCTCTTAACCACTGAGTGATCTCTCCAAGCCCTGAACCTCTTCTACTGCATATTTTTAACCTTTTGACCACATGAGCAGACTTTAGACTCTTAAATGACACCTGAGTCCTCCCCTCCAGGCAGACTCTGCCTGCTCTTGGGTCCAGTAGTGAATGCCAAACCCAGAGCTTGCAGCCTGGCCAGAGGTGTGTGACCAGGAACTGCATTCAATCGCCCAGAGCTCTAGAATGTGAATGCTTGCCTGCAGCAGGTGTCTTTTACTTAAGTTTTTGTTTCTATTTAGCATAAAAAAAATGCTGTTTAAGTGTTCTGCTCTGCAGCAGGGTTTCTTAAAGGAGATGGGTTTTGTTTGTTTTTTGTTTGTTTGTTTGTTTGTTTTTTATTAGCTCTCTCAGGCTCTACATGGACATTTGGGCCTCATGTTGATATGCCAAAATGTTTTTTGTTTGTTTCTTTCTTTTTCTTTTTTTCCTCTAGCCCCACTTTAGGTGCCAAAATGTAGTTGACTGTTTTTACTCTTATTACTCTTTTACTCTTTACTGTTTTGCGAGGTATAGGTGAATGTGTTCCGTCTGTGGAGCTGCAAAGATATCCTGAGGATATTGGGGAGCCAGGCTATAATTAGAGCTGCAATAGTTCAGTTCTTGAGGGGTAACACCACAATATAGACAGCCCTGGAGGCTGGAGACGCAATAGGACAGCTCAGCCCTAGAGGCTGGAGCCACAATAGGACTGCTTAGTCCTGGAGAAAAAGTGTCCTGACTTTATTGGGAAGCCAGGCTACCTGAAGCTGGGGTGGTGTGGGAAATAGTTTCCCCCAGGATATAGTGATCCTGCTCCATTCCTGGAGAGCCGCTACAGCTGTCTGCTCTGTTCCCCTAACCTAATGGAACATCCTATCATAGCTATCAGCTTCTTGTTCTCTGGCCCAAGGTGTTACTTCTTTTGCTAAAGCAGAAGCTCCTGAAGAAATGTAGCAATCTCATCCAGCTCTAGCAAAAAGTTGTTACTTTTTTCCTGCTCAGCTTTGCTCAGGGAGGAGTTGAGGGAGCAACTCAGCAGGGTTTTTCTGCTCAGTTCCCTAAAGAACACCCCAGCCAGGTTCTTCTTTTCTGAGTCAGCAAATGAAGATTGTGAAGATCATCACCAAAGACTCTTTTGAGAGATTTATTTGGGAAGGATTTATCTGCCTCTACTGCTGCCTCTGCCTCAACTGTACAGGCAGAGAGGCTTATATAAGGTTTCTTAGGGGCAGAGATTTCCGAGAGAGAAGAGGGATTGGTTAGTTTAGTTTGTCAGGGGCAGAGACAGCTAGATTTTATGGCTAAACTGTGTTTCTTTCACTGGTCCTTTTTAGCCTTTTGACTCTAATCTTAGGACCAGGGCATATTTCTTTCACTGACTCTGATTTTAGGGATAAAGTGTATTTCTTTGACACTAGTTTCAGAGTCAGGGCACACGTCCTTAGTCCTGGGTTCAGGGATGAAGATGTTTCTTTTCTGGCTCAGGTCTCATATCCAGGGTGTGTTTCTTTCACTGGCTCTGGGTTCAGAGTTAGGTGCTCAGTGATTGGTCAGTTTTCTGCTCCAGTTGCCCCTTTTACCATACAGGAGGCCTGCCAACAAGTTCACAAATAAATCACACATAAAATCTCATTCTTTCTTATAAATGTCTGGCCTTAGCTTGGCTTGTTTCTAGCCTTGTTTCCTTACCTTAAATTATCCCATCTACCTTTTGCTTCCGGGCATTTTCCTTTTTTTTTTTTACTTCTTTTTTTAATAATTTACTTTAATTTTATTTTATTTGCATTGATGTGAAGGTGTCAGATCCCAGAGAACTGGAGTTATAGACAGTGGTGACCTGCCATGTGGGTGTTGGGAATTGAACCCAGGTCCTCTAGACGAGTAGCCAGTGCTCTTAACCATTGAACTATCTCTCCAGCCCCTCCTTTTCTTACTTCTAAATACCTTACTTTAATTCTTACTCCATGGCTGGCTGGGTGACTGACCCCTAGTATCCTCTCTCCTTGTTCTCTTGCTCCTTCCTCTTAGATTTCTCCTATTTATTCTCTCTGCCTGCCAGCCCCATCTATCCTTTCTCCTGCCTCGCTATTGGCCACTCAGCTCTTTATTAGACCATGGGGTGTTTTAGACAGGCTAAGAACCACAGTTTCGCAGAGTTAAGCAAATGCAACATAAATAAAAGCAACACATCTTTACATTGTTAAACAAATGTTCCAGAATATAAACAAAAGTAACACACCTTAAAATAATATTCTACACCATGTGGCCTTGTTGGAGAAAGTGTGTCACATGGGGGGCATGCTTTGAGGTCTCTTTTGCTCAAGATTCCCAGTGTGACAATCAGTTGACTTCGTATTGCCTGTAAGATGTAGGACTCTCAGCTCCAGCACCACATCTGCCTGCACACCCATGTTCCCCATCATGATGACAATGAACTGAACATTTGAAACTGTAAGCAAGTCACCACAATTAAATGTTTTCTTTAAAAAGAGTTGCCTGGTCTTGGTGTCCATTCACAGCAATAAAATCCCTAACTAAGACAGAAATGGGTTCCAGGGGCTAGGCCATTGCTGTGATAGACATGACTATCATGTGGTTTGGAGTAATATGAACTTTGGTATTTTGGATTAAAATAGCAGTGGAATGCTTAAAGTATTACTTAATGGACCATACTAGTAGGGACATGGAAGGCAGTGGTGTTAAGTGTGATTTGATGAACTGTCCTGGGATGAATCAAGAGGTTTCAGAAGAGAAGAATTTTAGTATGTTGTCTAGAAATCGTTCTTGTGATGTTTTGCTAAAGGAAGTGGCTGCCTTTTGACCTCATCTAAAGAATCTGCCTAAGGCTAAAGTGAAGAGTTTTGAGTTAATTTCATTGGTGAAAGAAATTCCAAAATAGCTGAATATAGACTCATATGGATATTAGCGGTAACTCTAATGAAGATACATAATGAAAAGGAGCAAGGTGAGCAAGGAAAAATATTTGAGAAGAAGAAGTGCAC